TTGATATTTCCAAATAAACTCGAAATAAATGGCCAAAAAGTCTTATGCATCTGCATTATATTTGGTTATTAAACAATAAAAGATATTAATGACTGTTTAACAATTACACTCTATGATAAACGTTATGACTTTAACTTTTCTAACGTCGGCTTCCCTTATATGTATAAAATTGTGTACGGATCACTCTTTTTATCCGATTAAGAAAAAAAAGGTTTGTGACCTATCAATAGGGAATGCTAACCTCTCAATGGCACCTGATCCCTCCTCTGATGTTTTCAGGGGTCTGTGTTTGCTCTGCTCTCCATTTTTTTTTTGTTTAATTAGATTTTTGAGCAAGATTATTATTCGTTATCTTTACATTCCTTTCAATCCTGTGCATTTTATTGATTCAAAAACAAATATCTTTAGCATATAATCAATTTTTAATACTGTGCATTTTATAGATTTAAAAAGAAATATTTTGAGCAGTGTGAGAAACTGAGGCAACTGACAAAAATCTTTTCCAAACATTTGTTTAAATATCAAGAAACATATGCTCCGAATGTCGTTCTTCGATTTTTTTTATATTTTGCATTTTATAACGTTAAAAATGCTCAATGATCAAACAAAAGTTTGAAACTGGTAACGTATCTGGAATTTTTACAGTTTCAACGAGCATACAAAAATTCACTTTTAACTATGCGATTTCAAAACATATATTTGTTTACCATTCGAAATACTTGTATTTACAAAGTGTAGCGATGCAACATACATAAAATTCTTTTTATCAAAGAACAACACACACCCTTGACGGTTGAGTGTAAATATCTTGAACAATGTGTACCTTTATGTATTTGCTTGTTTTATTTTTTTTTTTCGAAAAAAGGACTTTCCTATGATCCGTACTGCATTTTTTACTGCATATTTCACACGACTTGAGATAAACAGTTGTTTCTGTCTCATCTTCTCGTCAAATTGTGCAAGACAGTGCATCTCCTTGTAATAAACAGCTGTTTGCAAGTTGTACATAATGTACTAGGAAGGATTTCGAGAATATTAAATTGAAAATTATTGCATAGGCAATACGTACTCGTATTCAAAAGAAAGTTTTGTCCAAATGTACTGTTTTTGAACCATTTATATATCACTACCCCTTCTAAAGTCATGAAGATTTGTTTTAATTAAGATAATCGTAACAATACTCATTAATTTTTAAAGTAAATGGCGAGGACTCGGCAGAAAAGTTGTTTTGATGATTATGAATTAATTGACTCTTCTCGAACTGAATAAATTTACTGGTTGTTGAAGCTTTTTTACTCCTTTTTAACAAAATTTTGTCTTCCAGTACTTTCCTCCAGAGAGAAAAAAAAAATAATCAAAATTAATGTAAATCATCGATGCTGCGTAACAAAATTTAACAAGTAAACTATATGTACATGCAAAGTTAATTGTGAACAAGAAATCTGATTCTGTAAAGAGGTAAATACTGATAAAACTGCAGCGTGGTCTCTGCATGGAATTAATATTCTCTTCGTAAAAACTCAGTTGCTGTCTCTCGGGGGAACGTTCTCTTGTTTTTTTACTCCTACGTCTTGATTATGATCAACCCTCTCATACGTTTAATGATGCAATCCTTCACTTCTGACTAAGTACATAGAAATATTGTCCTCGTTATATTAAGTGAAAACATCGTAACCATTCACGGGAACCAAAGTAAAAATTCATCAGAAAACACACAGTTGGATTTCATTATTTTAAGGCAAAATATTCGAATCTTTCGAAAACCATCTTTACAACGATGTTCGTGAAGAGATGCTCGTACAGTGTACACCTTCAAATATATTTTCAGGGAATATTTCATTATATACATGTACATTCTGCTGCAGTGTCCATGATTCAAACTTGTACACATATTTCATTTTAAATTTCTGGTTCTGTAATATAATTCCGGAATACAAAAGTTTATATCAGTTGCTGTGATTTTTTTTTTAAAAATTAAACCTGGATTTATTGAACTATCGACGTTATGTACCTGATATAATGTATGGATAATGTGGGGGTTTTTTTCCGCTTATAATTCTCGTTGCAATATTCGTTTATAAGGTATACTTACATGTACACAGTCCTATTGCACGCAGAAATCACAATAAAAAGGAGTTAAAAAAATTTTTACAGTTGATAAACTAGGTTAACTAAAACTTAACATTTTTTAATCAACAATTTAACATTTCTAAACCATACTCAGTCTACTATTAATAGTATGATTATTAATTTGAAAAGTTTAAATAGCTATTATGCATATTTTAATTTACATATGTAAAATATAGTACATTGTAAATGTATATTTTAAATAAAGGTTCACAATTGGGTAAACTATGAATAATTATATAGTTCTTAATTTCAATAAATAAATATTACAAATATGAATTTATATTTATCAACAAAAACTATCATGATTATTTTTCATTCACAGCTAGATAAACTTGGTTTAGCATGCGTAAACTATATTATTTACAAATGTTAGATATAGTTAACAAATGAAAAATAAAGTTAACCAATCGTAACCTACTAGTATAGTATACTCTTTGCAATCAGGAGTTACAATTGATTAATCTTAGGCTAGTTTTTCAGCTATAAAACTACAATGTATAAAACTAGCTTATTTTTGTGAATTGGTGTGTCATATTCCTACACATCAATCTATACTATAGCCTCTGGGTGTTACACTCAAACATATATAGTGGTGTTCAGATGGTATTAATTACTTAGTCTATATGATTCATCTCATACTGGGATACTTAGTGTGATGAAGTTGTAGAATAAAATAGGCCAGTGGTCTAGTTTCAAAGACTGAGTTTCTGACTCATGAAAAACCAATTTATATGCTATTCACGGCGTACAGTAAGGGGACGATGTCATCAAAATCGATATACATGTAAGAAAACATGGTTATCAAGGGTGCCAGCTGGGAATTTTTGTGTAAAAACTAAAAGAGAAAATTATACTAGTATTTTAATACCATGTGTAATCTACATTGACTTTTAAACATAGGCAAAGTACCCTCTAGGTATTATATAGGGACCGTCTCAATGTACAGTTACATTAACCATAGAATTTTGCATAGGAAAATGTAAGTTTTGTGTACATGTATGAAGTAAATCATAAATACTAGTGTACCATAAGAGCTTTTTTTCTCAATTGTAATTCCACAGTGTACATTGTACATTATACGCATAGGCGTCGAAACCGTAAACCAATTCTTTACAAAGAATTGGTACTGAAAGAAATTCGAACCCCCCCCCCCCCAAACTAAATAGGATTTTCGGGTTTGGAAGATTTTCAATTTTCTTTTTTTTTTTTGGGGGGGGGGGGGGTGTCAAGTTTTTTTCGGGTTTGAATTTTTTCTCTTTCAATTAGCCTCCCCCCTTTCAATTTGCTTCTGACGCCTATGATAAGTAAGAAGGTCAAAATTCTACTGTCTGGTTTTTTAAAGGAACCATCTCAAAATATAAAAAATTACGAAATTTTCCTATTTTTATGGCCAGGAGCTACTACAAAAGATTATGGATACAAAGGATTCATACTGAAAAAACAAAAATGCCTACGTTTAAAATTTCAAAAAGCATATATTTCATCCTTTGTAGTTTTGATTATAAAACCTTCCTCAAAAGAGATCATTTTGCCAGAATGTCATGAACACAAAGACAACGTCTATCTATATATACCTATCAATCAAAAAATCGTTAAAAAATAAAGATCTCAATTATAGTTTACCGTCTGTTTCATGGTTAAGTCTGTTAAATTTGTTAAGTGATGTTATAATAATTTCTTTAAAATTGTACATAGTCTGTATTTCACTAAACTGAGCGAAATATTGCGCAATGAAAACAAAGTCGGTCCCCTTAAATAACCTTGCACATTTTTTTTCCCGAATAAAATCTTCAGCCTTTGATACAAATTACACAAGTAAATTAAAATGTTAATTGTTGCTTAATATATTTACTCATAAATATAATAGAATAATATACTAGGGGGAGGGAGGTAATTATCATGATGTAAATTTTTAATTAATTTACTAGGGTTGTCATGTAATTGTCATATTGTAATTTTTGTATTTACTACCACCCGGTAAATTCAAAAATTACAATATGACATTATATAACCATAGGAAACGAAAGAAATGACTCGAACTATTATTGAAATGGTAAACCTCTCGACTGTGAATATATCCGCTTATACAGTATGCTTCAAAATGCATTGGCTATACAAATTTATTTTGAAAACCCTTAAACACCTAAAATGTAAATGAAAGATAAAAACATATCAATTTCCCTTGCGTAATCTATTTAATTTATGAAGCCCTTTTTCTGGTACATTGTATTGTCTAAGATTTTTTTTCGAAGACACGTGTTGATCATATTCAAGAAAGACAATGACATACTATTCACTTCTTAGTAGGGTAACAGGGTATACAGGGCGTGGATTCAAAATGTCTGACAGACTTTTTTTCTCAGTAAATCTTAGTTTACAGTAATATGTTATCTTTAGTATCCTTGTATGCACGCAAAGATACATACATACATACATACATATATATATATATATATATATATATATATATATATATATATATATATATATATATATATATATATATATATATATATATATATATATATATATATATATATATATATATATATATATATAAACTAATTATTTTTCTAACTAACAGTTATTCAATATTTAACTAAATTTAACAAATGCACCTTGATCTTTGGAGAAAACGTTTATAACTGTTGTTCAATATATACTCTTTAATTTAAAAATCTTGTTCTCAAGAACAGAAAAGCCATGTATAGTCATATTACTAAGGAAACATCCTCAGGTAGTGTAGATTCAAGCTTGTTTAAATCTTGACCCTCACCCCCACGCGATAGGGAGGGACCACAGTGGGGGAAATTTACATATAACACCATAAAGTCTGTGTAACAAATGTGAAAAACATTTATTTCCAATTTTATATCAAAAAATACCCTGTATGTTAAACTTACAGTGCTTATATTACTAGTATACAAATATGAGGATGAACAGTGCATATAAAAATGCTCAATTAAAACAGAGATTTGATAATGAAATACAAACATATAAAACATAATTGATAATTCCAAAGAATAGAAAAATATATCTAAATATAATAATTTAAAAGATGGCAAAGGTTGCCTACATTTTTCTTGATTTTAGCACTGAGGGTACAAAATGCAGACCAAGATTAATTATGGCCAATTCTTAGATCTTGGATGGAAGTTGACAATTAAGTGAGTTATTTTAAATAAAATATTAGAAATTAAAATTATTTTTAAAGAAAATTGAGAGTGTTCATTTATGTTTTTTGGAATCTAATCTGAAAATTCATTTGATTATTTTTAAAATCCATTCAATAAAAAGTTAGAGCTTGAATTGTAAAAACCTGTACAACATCATATTTATCTTTATGTATATAAATGTCAGGTTCATCAAAATTGTATCAATCCTGTATACATAAAAAAACTGCAAAAGAACATTATCAAATAAACATCTAGTAACCGTTAGACACGTGATATGCTTGTATAATTCTTAACCTTCTGTAAACTTGTCTCATATCACTTTAATAGTAATCATAGAGAGGCGATTAAACACGTCAGTACGACACATTATACGTACAAACTGATAAGATTAAGTCGATTTTCCACTTATGTTAAAAATCAAGTTCGATGACCTTTTCCTGAACTCTATATCTGATATTTAAATGAAATAAATCATCATAATTCATTTGAGTTATGGCAGAATTACTGACATATATTACAGAGATGTAAATGAAAAAAATTAAGAATCTTAGGAATTCCTCGTTTTTTGAAAGGGGAGATAAAGATTTTTTTTCAGCATTGTTCAACAATTTACAACACAAAAATAATTGTTAGTTAGTATGTTCTTGATACCTGGCTTTCCTGTAAATGAATGATCATTTTCCATCATTTGAAAAAAGTTTTTTTTCTATAAATGTCACAATTCTTTAAACAGAAAACGATCATCAATTATATTTAAATGAATAAATTAAGGATTCATGAGTGATGATGACCATAAGTTAGGAGCACAATGGAAACAGGTGTTAAAAAATTTTCAAAATATTTACACTTTACGTTTTATAAAAAGGAAGAAAAGAACAGGGCACATGACTTAACAAATGACAAAAAATACGTGTTGCCCTGAATCTATGTACAACTATGTGCAATGCTTTAGAATGAATAAAATGCATGATTGTAATTATATGATTTTAATTCCACACAGTTGCGTATTCAAATAAATAAATGTGTGTGCTTCTTAGGTTTTCAGATAGACCTTAGAATTTCTACATGTACAAATCAAACAAAACGACCCTTACTTCCTCCATATAAACCTTTATGATTTTCAGTAATATTCTACCTTTCTCCGGTAATGTTTCTATATAACTTCTTTTTTTTTGTCTTCTCCAGTTCGATAAAGGATATTGTATTAATGTTTCTGAGACTCGTTACCTAATATCTATACAAACATGATGAAAAATGAATTGATATGAATAACATTCTATTTTCGTAAAATAAATCAACAAGTACTTGCAATAAATACAAGTGTTTATGATAAAATCAGTATATTGAAGAGACGATCTGTCATTGGTCAACTACAGCAGTAACAAATGTTCTGGCAGCCAATCGGAGTGCTCGACACATTTTTCAAATGCACGAAACAGTTTGCACTATGAACCACGAGTCAGTGATTTTTTTTCTCCTCTGTTTCACAGTATATCCCATCATATCTCATTGATAAAGTCGTATTAGCACTTTATAAATGGGCGGAATAAAAAAGCGTTATTTCACAGAGAAGTTTCTATCTCCGTAATGGGGTGGCAAGTATTTGCTTACGCAAGGTCTGACCTCACTTAACGGCAAAGGAGATTTATCCCATTCCGAGAAATATAATAGTTCCTCGTTCACTTGCAGATATACACATCTTCAATTCGTTCACATGTCTGGCACTCAACATAACAACACCACTTAAATTTACACTTGCATCGTTCAACCACTTTCCGTTTAAAAGTGTTATATCCGCGCCCACAGCACAGAAGATTACAACCGTCCATTCCGCTAGACGTTTTACTACACTCCCTCCCTACTGTACCACGTGACCCTGTTTCTGGGTTGGCGTTACAGTAGTCTGGGGAATTCTCAAAGTACACAAGGTCCTCCGACGTGGGTTTATTGAATTTCTTGTTCCTACGAATGAGTTTTGTTCCCCGTTTGTTGAATCTGACCTCCACGGCGCCATCATAGCGCTCCTTCAGCCTATCCCCCACATCTCGGAAGGCAGGTAACTGCTGCCAACACGTCCTTAAACTGCACGAGCCGGAAACTCCATGACACTTACAGGCCACCATAGCGTAATTATACACCGCCTGTAAAAAAGGAGATTGATTAACGTGTTGTTAAGCGATTCACTTACATTAAGATGGACAGAATAAAGTTTGTGAAAATAATAAAAAGACCTCCGACCCATCCCCCTTAATTGGGATTTTATTGTCATTTCAAAATTATAGGAACGTGCTCTGTAGCAGATATATTGACTAGATTGAAGCATTGTCCATATCAAAGGGTGTTCGAAAATAGTTATTGCATTATGCTACTGTATAAGGAAATATAGAAGATAGGGCAGCTGTTTATATCGATGAATGAATTCTTGTTTGTTTTATTCCGGCATACCTGCAAAATAAGGTGAAATGACAGTTCGGAGTTAATTTTTATATCAACAAAATTCTCTATTGTCCCTGTGCTAATTGTCACGAGGCATTGCACAGATTACCAAACCGAAATGTTTGGTGAAGTAAATCGTAGCTTTGAATAAAAGGGGTGCAGTTCGATGTGATCTAAACATTCAAGTATTCAATACCTAAACTTCTGTAGCCCTTTTCACAAAAATTCTTACGAGTAAGATTAAAATTTTACAACTCTGTAATTTCTTTGTTTAATAAAGAAAATTATTTTTTCAGAAGAATAATTCTCACTCAATATACTGTAATGTAATAGAAATATAAGATTTTTTGTAACATACTTCAATTTAGGTACATACAGAAGAATTGGAAAATTTTAATCTTAGTCGTAAGATTTTTTGTGAAAAGGGTTACTGATTACTTTAGCAAACACTCGCTCCACTAAGGTAATGCATCGGAAAATACAGAGAGAGAAAAAAATCTCAACTATGTGTTTATAATCAAATAAACATGTCATTCCCTTATCGCATAGATTTCATAATTCTATATATTTTTGACATCCGTGTAAATATATCTATATGATAGACATTTACAACTTCCGCTTTATTTTTGGAGATTTCACAAGCAAGGTTATGGGAGATTCTTGAGTTTGTAATGAATTCAATATGCAGATATGTTACAAAGTTTTTAAACAATCTTCACTATATGCGTCAACAGAAGTATTTTCCGATTTGACGGAATTAGAAAAGCGCAACATCGAACTCCCTCTATTTCTCTTTTTAAAAAAATGACTTAAGGTGCGAGTACCATACTTGAAGACATAATGAGGTGTTATGTATTCTCTTCCGACATCTTAATTCCAAAAAATGCGCTAAATGACCTTATATCGTTAATCTGTATTATTAATGACCTTTTATCGTTAATCTGTATTATTAATGACCTTATATCGTTAATCTGTATTATTAATGACCTTATATCGTTAATCTGTATTATTAATGACCTTATATCGTTAATCCTTATTATTAATGACCTTATATCGTTAATCCTTATTATTAATGACCTTATATCGTTAATCTGTATTATTAATGACCTTTTATCGTTAATCTGTATTATTAATGACCTTATATCGTTAATCTGTATTATTAATGACCTTATATCGTTAATCTGTATTATTAATGACCTTATATCGTTAATCTGTATTATTAATGACCTTATATCGTTAATCCTTATTATTAATGACCTTATATCGTTAATCCTTATTATTAATGACCTTATATCGTTAATCTGTATTATTAATGACCTTATCTGTATTATTAATGACCTTATATCGTTAATCTGTATTATTAATGACCTTATATCGTTAATCTGTATTATTAATGACCTTATATCGTTAATCTGTATTATTAATGACCTTAAGCTTATATCGTTAATCCTTATTATTAATGACCTTATATCGTTAATCTGTATTATTAATGACCTTATATCGTTAATCCGTATTATTAATGCAATTTTCAAACCATGTTCTTGAGATGACTTGCACTTAAATTCTTTGTGGGGAAAAGTACAGAAATTCTTGCAGCGATGAATGACGTATTTGCTCGTTATTTGCCTCGACACCCTTCTAGTCTAATAGCAGAAAACTTTTCGTTTATCTTCATAAAAGTTATTGTTTTTATTGATGATTTGTTGTTATTTTTTTTCTTACCTTTTTTGTAACAGTTTGAAGCAGTCGGTTTGCATTTACAGGTATATTAGATTTAAAAAAAAATTAGTTACTGTCACAAACCAGATAATATTTAATCACATTGAATACTTTTGTTTGATGAAAAAAGAATACGAGATATGAGAATGTCTCTATAATTCTACCGATGGCAGAACTTGACACATCTGGTGTCAGACAAAACCATAATTCCTGTAGCAATCAGAAAAACATCGATCTTTACTACAGACATGATTTATTGCCGAATTTCCTCCTAAAACCCCGATATGACAGCTCTCCATCAAACTACACAGATCGAATACATTACATACTCAACATTTAGCAAGGTAAACGCTGATTAACTGATAACTTTCTGTCTTTAGCTAACACCTGTGCTCTGGGATTTCAGTGTGTTTTTTTTAAATGTTTAAGTGAAAGCGATTCGTCAAATTTGACAAATCTTTCAAGAATCTTAAAAGTCTCGTGTTTATAACCGCCTTTTCATTATCACCGGTTGGTATTTTCCCTAGGCATTTTATTTCTCAAGGACTCGTTCAATGTAAATTCAACTGACGTGAGAGAATTTCTCTTAATTTGGGGTTAAATTCGAATATTTAGTAATTAACGACTACCTGTCTGATTTTTTTTTCAAAGATGAAAATATAAATCGGTATATTTCTAATTTACTGAGATGATAAGAATAAAATCCCCCTCCCCCTTTTTTTCACTAAAACACATATTTGAGTTCAGAGAAATCTGTATTTTATTACCTTTTCTTATTTTATATGAAGTGTAATTGATTTCAAGTATTCATGTATAATTTCTCTACTGCTTCTTCACACGAATCGCTTGGTCTACTACCCCAAGTAATTAGATGGGACGGCATTTACAACTTTTATGATATTCTCCAATTATAAACTTAAAACGGACACATTAAGATATTTTATGAATGATCAAAGTTCTGCCTTTCTTTGACTTTCATCTCATCACCGATTAACTTTCCCTATTCAATTTAAAAGCTCACAAACTGGGTACTACTTTTTTCTCATACGAAAATAAGGCTAGGAAATACATGTATGTTGAAAAGAATTTGAAAATAAAAATCTGCCATTCAGTTTTATTTTGACCGAAGGCTTTGAAGTCTGTGATCAATAATCAATCAAAAGAAAATAAATACATTCCCTAGAACATGAATACTTAATTACTGCTTATTTGAACAAAAAAATAAGTCCCTGTTTTTGATAAATTTAGTTGGCAATCAAATCGGTTATCGATTTTAAATATGAAATAAATCCCTGAGGAAAAATCTTTTATCTGTTACGTAGCTTAAAGCAAAATAAATTTAATAAAAAGTAAATTTTAAAATCTTGCACAAAGTTGTTCAATTTTGTATACGTTCAGATACCTAAACTCGATTGATTGCACAGTACTTGTAACATATCCAATTTTAGCAATTTTTCCTTATTTCATATAATTATTCTCTTGAGTGTGGAGACAGGATCTTCTTCAATCTACTTCTATGAAACGTTTTTTCACATACATTCATGTAAAATTCTGATTGATATCTATTATTTATCATCATAACTCCCTACTTATTCAATTCACACAAAATCTGTATTTAAAGTATTATCCATATTTTGTCTGTTGCCTCAAATTTCAATATTTATGTCACACTTGCTTTTCAGAACCTCGACATATAACGCTGGCGAAATTTGAGCGACCATTGCTTTTCCCTTGTGTGATAACATTTTTAGCATTTTTTATCTCTTCGTTGATCAGAAACCTTCAAATGACAGCGATGTCTGACAGTATATCTTAACTTATCATCTCAAAATTAAGTGCTGTCATCGGACAGAACCTTGTCTGACAATAACTACCACAAATACCCTGTATCCCCCGTCTGTCTTTTAGCCACGCAGCGAAGAGCACTCCCCATATTGCAATATACATGATATAGTCCTGTAGTAAATAACGCCCTATGCCAACACACTTCGCAGTAAATGAAATTTTGTATATTTTATGTTCGAAGCACGTTTTCTTTCCTAAACTGCACGCCAATCTGTTTTTAAGTATTTCCGTGTGTTTAAATGTACATTAAGGATTCAATGTTTCTCGAAAAAATAACAAGTTTTCATTAAAATGTCGTTTGAATTGGAAATAGCTATATCTATTTCCTCGCTTTCCGCCCAGATCGGAAAATTTATTTGCTCTAGTTTAAGCAATTAACAGTTAAGGCAGTCTTGACAAATATTTCATAAGGTATAGCAGGAGCAAATGTTATTGACACGAAAAAATCATTCTAAACAAATCTATTGTCCAAATAACTTTGCTATGGATGATTCATAGGATTAAAAGACTAGAGATAAGCATCATCTAAATCATTTAGAAATGTAATCTCCACAGAATAAAAACTGAATCATAGCGCATACATGTGTAAATTAACAAATTAAAAACCACTAAAACCGAAGTCTTACATACGTAATACTAATCTTAAATTGTCAATCAAGTTCTTGTTCAAGGTGACAAGTCGAATATATAGTGTCACGTGACAGAAAAAAAAAACAAATCACTTTAAGTCACAGAATAAAAGAGCTAGCACCTGATTCAGGATTTGGGGAGAGAATTACAAAAGGGAGAAATATAAAGATATAATAGGAATATTATGTCTGATTGAGGTTCATGCAGATTTTTTTTTTTTTTTTTTTTTTTTTTTGATAGGCATAGAAGCAATGAATGGAATATGTATTAAAATTTGTTATTATGAATGGGGTAGACAGAATATATGCTTGCAGATTGCCGATTTAATGAATACGTAAGGAGATCAGACAGATTTAATTTTTTTTTATAATCTAGGACAAATTGTGTTCGTAACAAAAAAGATTAAAAGAAGATGAAACTACGCCTATACATGTTAACAAAGAGGGAAACTATGTCTTCTAAATCTATATCCAACAGAAATATTCCGAGATATATAGTTCTTATGGTATGTACATAAAAATTGATTATTTTCACTAAAAAGACATAACAATTAATAATTGGCTTGGTTTCTTGGAAGATCTAAAATGCAGGTGTTGTAATCTTTTAATAATTTGACATCGAAAACGAATTAAGTTGTCATCGGGTAGGGCTTTCGTTGAAAAAGTAAATACCCACGCCAGGATGCGCGACTATAGTGAAAAAAAATGTGATCTTCCGAACTGTTCCGAGCACTCAGTAAACACGACATCCGGTGACCCGCCACTTACGGCAGTCGTAACGACACACTGAGCCTCCTTAACAACAAGACTATGTAGACTGATTAGGAAGCCTCATCAAAAACAATGTCCCCGGCGGTTTACATGAATTATGAGAATAGTGAACTTTCTATACAACCACAAGCCTTAATCTCACTTAAGCTCTTTAAGGTACCACCCCTTTTGGAGGAACTTGATAAAGTGTCTGGCAAAGAAAGTTTGAAAATTATTTCCAGTGCATTGTTTTTATCTATAAAGTAATGAACAAACTTATGAACATAAATAGGACTCTCATGTAAAATTAGGCCAGAGACTCAATATCGAGCAGCTATACATTAGTTTACACGCACTGCGCAGAAATTCACATCAATTCTCGTCTCAGACGATTGGTCGATTGGACAATTTTTTTCAGCTTCGCAGAAAATCTAAGGCAAGTGACCCTAATGACAAATGCTCTCACTCTCTGAACTCGGTGAAAATGCTATCATTACCTTTTGGACAATAGCCTTTGTCTTCCAATCTATTAAGGAAGTGTTTTCTAAGAGCTGTACACATAGTAGAGCGTAAATATTCCAAAAAAGGATCGCAGGTGCGTAAAATCTCAGTTAATGGAATCAACGAGTGGAAGGATTAGTCTAAATCCCGACAAGGCCCCGCCTGATAGGAACAATCATTATTTTAGTCACGGTCAATGTTAATCCTTTAATGTGTATTGTCTTTCCAAAAAAATATCACAAAAGTCTTGAAAATTCAAAACATACATTTTTTTCTCCCATTATCTCCATGTTACAAACAAGATATCCATTGATATACGGTGTTAGGTGACAAGAATAAAACTGTTGGTGTTACATTTAGGCATGGGTTGTAAAATGAACATGCATTTACCCTGTCATAAACCCTCAAATTTAGAAAACGGTGTGTGGTTGTTTTCCAACAAGAGTAATCAGGCGTATATTCGGAATAAATCACTTATTATGAAAATTCTGGTATGCAACGCGACGCCACCCGAGTAGATGTAGGGAATGTTAATATGCAAAACTTAATTCATTCCGGCCAGGGAACATAAATTACTTCACATTTGAGATGTTTTCGAATATTCTTTAAACAATTGAAATAAACCATTCAACCAATCGTGATTAATCTGCTTCGTTTAGCCAAAGAAAGAATTTTTAGGGGAGATAATCTTCGTAAAGCGAAATCGATGAATGGATTGAACTATATTCCGAGACGTCACGCTCAGCTGGCATGTCGTAAAAATATTACAAAAAGTGTAACAGTGATTTCATGTCGCATTCAGTAGATTTACTTCCAAAAAGCATCCCCCTCAATTATAAACGATTAATGAATCGAGGTTCCGAAAATTCATTCACTTCACCTTTCATTCCATGTTATCATTAATCAAAACACTATCTCCGGTTATATCTATTCATGGGAGTTCATTAAAATTTAAAAATATCATATACTACTTTATTATGATAAAATTCAGTTGTTAACTCATCCATCCCATCTTAGATAGTTATCAAATATTTTACCCTAGATATTGAATTTATTAATTTCTAGGTGAATAATTTTACGCTTTTCTTCTTTTAAAATTTTAGTTGTCAAGTTTACTATAGAAGATTGATTAATGATTTGTTCAAGAAATTTTGATATACGAACATATTAGATTTCAAACATACTTCACTCTATAAATATCCTAAAAAAAGACGGCATTTTCTTTTGTTGCTCGCTTACGCCTGTGTTATTTTCTTATAATTCACGACTGCCGTAGGTGGGACTCAGAGCAGTTAGTTACAACAACCGAAAATTACTCAAAATAAATCAGTTTTTATTAATAGATGTATTTCTTATCTTTATTTTACACGGCTGATCCCGTTATGACACGAAAACACATTAGAATTCCATACCTTGCAAGAAAAAATTTGACACATCTATTTTGCAGTCCATTAAACTGTAAGACGTCAAAGTTAATTACATCAAAGAGACAATGATAATTAACGTAATAAGTTTTATAAACATTGAACATTTTAAAAGCTTTTTTGGCCTGCATTTCTGCAACATTTGACTTAAACTTGAATCTGGGACAAATCATTCTCTTCCTATATGAATCAAATGAACGCCGTTTTGAGCGACAATGTGCGAAGTATTCGCACAAAAAGAATATTTACATTTTCTTTTTTGCTGAAAATTATGTACAATATTTTAGAAAAACAAAACGAAGCGCAGTTTGATGGTAACATTACCATTTATTTCAGAATAACATTTACGCGTTTTTATGAACATCCACCGTAACAGTAGAGGGAAATTCCAACCGACTTGAAACCCCTTACTCTGAACTGAGCACACATATATTGCTCTTAGACAAGTTTACGGCATTTCAAACGTAAACCATGGAAGGTAAAACCATGACGTTACTGGCGTGAAGTCTTTTATGAGTTTGTTCAGAGATTGGCAGGGCTGTACTGTTGATGATAACACGATGTGACTTCGTTAGCATAGCGCTGTCTTGCTAATCGTTATATCGGTAATATAACTTCTCAGTGAGGCTAGGGCCTAGAAGCCTGTCACTCAAACTAATAGTTAGTCGGCTCGTGTGGAAGTATGCTCTTACAACATAGCTTATATATATATATATATATATATATATATATATATATATATATATATATATATATCAAAGAAATGTATGGGTTGAGGGAGGACAGAAATTTGCAAGACATATGCAATTTTAAGTTGGAAATTGTATCTGGATAAATTTAAGTATATTCTTGTCAACAAAAATAATAATCTTGCTTCAATTTTATCATCTGTGAAATATAAATATACTAGATTCTTCCTTTTTCTGAATTTTTCTAAGGTTCTATTTATATGTCTATTTAAATTTGATTTTGAAATATTTTTTTCAAAGTTTTTATTGCAGGGCATTAAGAAACATGAATGTTGTCTTTTTGAGGAGGTTATCCAAAAAAAACACCCCGAGATTTTAATTCGAAAATATTCTCTTAACTCCGTAATAGCATGAAGAAGCACTGCATGAACTGCCTGTTATGTCACTTATCTAAAATGTCTTTTAAATATATACAAATTGTTTACATTAACATTATTTGAAACTCTACATGACATCTGTATGCTGAGATTTCCCTTTACCAACAGTTGTAAACCAAAAGATTGTCTACTATAAACTCGTGAAATGTTTATAGATTACAAAGATAAATTTCCATGTAGCAAATGCTTTGTAAAAGAATTGCTCAACTTCAAAACCTTTTATCAAACTTCAAGAGACAAGGTAATCAGAGAAAAAGGGCTCTAAAGCTCTAAATCGTCAGCTGTTACTGAAATATGCAGCATATTACAATACCCTTGTCATATACAGACTTCAAAATGGCGCCAAATACAGGACATTTCTATGATTTACCAAGACTCTTTTTACACAGGAAGCAGTTGCATGTTCCAAAGTAAGTAACCCGGGGGCTGTTTATTTCAGTGCAAAGTTTATTGCACAAACAGACGGGACATTAAATGCTAATTTTCAAAGATTCATCGCAAGCGCACGTGGTAGAACAGGAAATTCTTTGGAATATCGCTCGGGGGAAGCTGTTTCCAAACGTTTCCTTCATGCTGGAATTATGTGATCAAAAGGCTTGTTACGTCAAACAGAACCGACCGTTGCAGGGGGTATAATTTGGATTAAAAGAAGAGAATATCGCTAGTGGTCGTGATTATGTAACTTAAAACAAACATGCAGCATCATGGACAATCTGCTTAGATTGCACATATTTCAATTTTTTCCATCTTTCCTTTCCATTACAATATATTTTGAATTCCCCGCCAAATGCACTTACCCGAAGTCCTGCTTCGTTGTTATGGAGATTCATTAACATTCGCCCGAGTTCCCTGGAGCCTCGCCTGTGGTTCTTGTCTCTTTCTCGTGTATCCACGAAGTATTTGGCAAATCTGTACCCGTACTCTATATTATCCCCGCACCCACCCCAGATCCAGTCTCGCGCCATGTCTTTTGGTCGCCCTGCTTTGCTGCACCCACATTTGCTCAGCTCGCCCTCTTTACATGAGCGACTGACGGAATGGATGACACCAGCAGATGATATTGCATGAGTGAAAGCAGCTTCTCTGCTCGCTGAAAAAAAAATACAATTCGGGAATGTTAAACCAAATGGTACTTTTAGCCTGACAAAATATTTCATTGAAACATTTGGGTTTTGGAATAATTTTCGAAAAATATCTATTAATGTTAATTTTTGGTAATGCGCATCAAGATAATATTCCCTCTTATTACAAAAGAACATATATATGATTTCTATTAGGTATCTTAGCATATGTACAAGAATCTATTTAAGATACATTCTTTTTCTGTCTTTCATACAAATACAGTGCTACAACACATACTGATAACTATCTCCCACAAACTCCCTAAAACGGTCTAAATTGCTTGGAGAAACTCAATAAAAATACATTTTTTCTCGACTACACTCTCAACATCATGTAAATATTAAAATGCCATCTTCTTAGACGAATGATGTCAAGTAATTATAAGAAATTGACCTACAGTGAGGCTTAGAAGAGATTTCATCTCCATATTTCATTCGTATGAACTACGTGTAATGTTCATGTAATACGTGCATTGTTCAAGTATTTGTATGCATAAACTGATTATAATATTGGATAACTATATAATATTGCATAAACATGTGTAATAAAACATCAGATTCATCGGTACAATTTTTCACTGAAAGTTTTACATTGATTAAAACGATATTCCGTTGATATAACAAACGTATACTAGTAATGGGTGGGCCCGAAGATCCGTTTATCGTTGAAAAATACCATTATGTTCATAATACATAGACTGGCCAATTATTGGACTTGAAATGGTTATCGTAAGTACATGGGATCAAAAAAGAGAGACAGGCTTAGTCTGTTCACAGACACCACACGAGATAAAGCCTTATAAAATATTTGTAGTCAATGTTTTTTGGGGTCGCTGAATCCGGAATTATCCGCAGGCAGCGGATTAGCATATTCTGGACAGTATCAATGGCGGACTGACAGTGTGCGATCGTGTCTGTCAAGATTCAGTCAGACGGATTGATTTTTTTCTAATACCTGAATGACAGGCTTGTGATCCTATTAATCATGGCCATTTGCTCTCTAAATCTATTTTTTTAATACAAAGTGTACACATTATTCATCGAGATTAGCCTGATTACGTTTAATCTATTTTCATTTTGAATTAATTGCAATTAAAATATATTTCCTATGTCCTATATCTGAAGGCGGCGGGAAGATTTATCTTACGAGTATTAGAACACCTTCTCCCTTTTCAAAATTGAATTATAATTAATATCTTTTTTGTACAGACGTATTGAAGGTGAGAGAAAGTATTTTTTTAATAAGCGTATTAACCATTAATAAAATGGGTCTCAGTGTTCGAGACATTGATATAAATAGTAGCTTCAGCGACACTTTAAATGTTGTTTCTAGCAAATTTAGAAGGAAAAAAAATCGTAACATGTTTTAACATTCTTGAAAGCTCATAATTCATTCTGCAGTCCCATGTCTCTTGTTTTTGTCCCTTAATTAGCTAACCCAGCGATAAGGGTGGAGCATCGACAACCATTTGTTTATTCACTTGATTAGCTAACACCAACGACTTGTCATAGTTTTTACATACAATTTAAATGCTTAATTAATTGTTCCCTGACCGAAAACTTCCTAAATGTTTCCTCTGAATGGTGGAATTGTCACATCGAATAAACGCAGTTATCAGCTTATTTGAACAAGGGTAACCTTACATGATCGTCTTGTCAGTTCTTTGTGTTTGTTTAATTTGACTGAGACAGTTGTAACAAAACTGAACAAAAATGGCACAAAACAGTGTTGACGTTACATAACAAACATATGCTATTAAAATAAATATACACACGTATATATACTACAAAAGCGTGACTTTTTGTGACATATCTGTTTGGAAAATCTCCAACAGTTAGGTCAAATACCATACGTGATAGTGGGAATATGCTATACTTATCAAATATATACCTGTCTACATAAAATAAAACAAAAACAAAAAAATCTCGCTAACTTTTAAGTAAACACTCATCCCCCTGTTTGCTTAACTCCATTGCAAAACTGTATATAATGTTGAAGTCATCACCGACCCTGACGCAGTACGGGGCTTGTGTTTTTCCCCGACAATTAGCTCACTATAGCTTTTTTTTTTTTTGCTAATTAGCTCCGAGATAAATGGACGAGATCTTACATAGTGTATCCACACCAGCCATTTGGGTTTCTCTTCAGCTGATTTTGCCGTTAATTTTTATCGCTAGAAAACATTTTGTTAATACCTCTATCTCTCAATTCTCATTAATGCACGGAGTATTTCTTTTTCTCTAATTTTCGACATAATCTGTCTTGCGTAAGATTTGTTTGTCATTAATAAAAGACTTGCCTATTCTTAGTATATACATTTATCGCTAGATATTTTCTACAGGTGTTTAAGATATATCAATATCCTCCAGGAAAACGTTAATTTCTTATTTCTGCGTTTAGTTTTATTTAGCTAAATACCATATATACCAACATATTGTAGAACCATCAAATTATATTACAAGAAGGTTTAAATCTTAGGATGTACGCGAAATGTAAAAAGGTAGAAATAGAGTAACAATAATTGCTCAAATTAAAACGTGAATATTTTGATGAAGTAATTCATTATGTTGAAAATTTCACATTCATTACGTGAGGTTAATATAAGATTTATACCTATAATTAAATAGTTAATATATTATTAATTACAAGTTATGTTGTAAATACATGTGTAACTAAATTCAAAATGTACAGCATAAAAGAAATGATTTTTAATTTAGAGGTTTTATTTACACGTACATATTTTTCATTAACTGCCTATAAAAAATTGAATTGATTATTTATGGAATTCTATCAATAGCACTGATCGATCTTTTATAGGGACTCGAATGTGCGAATCAGATTGAAACTAATGCATAGTTTATTGGCAATTTTAAGCGCATTGCCGTTTGAAAATAAAAAAGAAAAAAAAATAGGTCGTTGTGTCCTGCGGGAAAATATGCAAGATAAGTATGACTGGGTGCAAATCAAACTCGGTGCTTGGAAATAGCGTGTAAAAAATGTGTCAAACGTATCAATATATACCACAAAGTCGTCAAGTAAAGTGTTGACAGATATATACGTTCGTGTCGGAAATCATTTACAACAAAACAGAAGATCCCTTCCAGCACAGAACGGGGCCGTTTTGCCTTAATTACCAAACTATGTGACTTTATCACAGCAATCTTCGTATGGAGTCAGGTTCTACCGAATCTTATGTGACACAGCTTTAATATAAGAAACATTAAATTCAAAAATATTTTTTTTGTTTATGCCCCTATCAGATTTCCTGCCAAACTTGTGCAAGGTGCTATCCATGTTAAGAAGATCGGGTGTCAGGAGCGGTTTAGATGCACCTCTTTGCTTGAGAAGGAAACTGTTGTAAAACAAGAGATTCTGATCCACATAAGGTTACCGAACCCGATGCTTACAACAGATTTACTCTGTCATCATATCATTCATAACATAGTGAGCATTAATCATTACATGGTATGACCGCAAAACCTAAGTTTTGGATGTAATGCTTTTCTAAATTTTTAAACACTCTTTGTAGTAGCTATAGGTACTTAACAGGCGAAGTCTGTAACCTTTGATGAAAATTGCACCCTGTTCCGGATACGTTCGTTGTTGTTGAAAAGAAAACCGATTTGTTTCACAATTGTTCTGTATTCGGTAACTATTTGTCATGGTGTCCAGACTTCGGGTTCTTTTGTACTTACCAACATTTAAGACTGGACCAAACACTGAGGAATCTCCCTCTATTGTGGAACAGTTCCAACGTCTATTAGCAAATTGATGCTGACACTCTAAAATTCCGAGCTGCGCCCCTCGGCCCACAGCGGGCATGTGGTCCGTGAAAAGCTGACACAGGCGCACTTGCCCGGGGGAGAGTCCTTTTAATTGGGTACACATTGGTTGTGTACCAATCAAGTATAAATTAGGATTCCTGAATACATTTAGTCTCGATGATAATCCTAAGCTCCTGTAAAATAAATGATACATTTAGTCTCGGTGATAATCCTAAGCTCCTGTAAATAAATGATACATTTAGTCTCGGTGATAATCCTAAGCTCCTGTAAATAAATGATACATTTAGTCTCGGTGATAATCCTAAGCTCCTGTAAAAGAAATGAAATTGGAAAATGCATAATCTGACCTTTGAATCAGTTGAGTACAATATTATTATATTTAGTTCAGTGGTTCATTGCAAGAATCGTATTAGAACCTTTGCTTCAACATGAACGGAGTTTGAAGGTTAGAAAAGTCTTGAAAGAGTGTATTTTCATCGAAGAATATACTCAAAACAGGAAACAAGAAACGGCCACTCAGAGACTAGAGAAATGACAGAATTATGTGTTAAATTGCGATAGATCTTGAATTATCAACCGTCCATTGTAAAGTATAACTCTTTTCACAATTTAACAAACGTGTATGTCAAATCAGTGGTTGGCTTTTTCCCTCCCAAGTGTTAATAATGAGTCCCGACACCCACATTTTAAACGTATTTGCTTAGCTAATCTGAACACGAACAGAGAATTTTTCATTTTCATAAAGACATTAAAATGATCTTCAGAATCGCCGAGAATTTGTCAATACCCAGTGGATATATACCGTACGTATTGATATCAGCAGGTGCTAGTTTGTTTGCGCATTTCACTCGCGCTAGGATTCTAACAGAGAGGTGAAAAGTCATCTATTACTTATCGCTGACAGAAAACATGTCAATGTCTTTTAAGTGCATCCTTTTAAGACATCACATTACCAGGTTCATTGAAAATGCAGGACAAATGAAAATAGCAAAAATGTTAAAAGGGAAATAGATACCTACCAAGTTAGCATTGTTTAATGCTTGCTATTAATGTAAATTCAGATATACAAATAAACACAAGAATTTTAAGAGCTCAGATGGCTTTAAATTATATTTTGAACTCTACTATACTTTAGATGGTTTGGAAATAGCGGCATTACAAGAGGCTCGAATAATTACATGTATGATGATTATGATAGGAATTTGTGAAAGCGAAAGAGAAGTTTATTTTAATACTTACCACCATATGTCACCTATCCCTGACACCAGAAGAGGAAACAGAAGTATATGTAGGAATATCCGAACCGTTAGTGTCCATAATGCACATTTTCGCGCCATTTTCGCATATCACATGGATTTCTCCTGCACCTCTAAGAAAAGAAATAAAGACCGCATATTTCATATCACTTAATAACACACACATCCATGTATCGGATGCACATCACATATCAAAGGCACTATGAGGCTTTATAATGTTCCCTTTTTCCCTAATATTGACGGATTAAATTCTCCTACATGACAATGGCAAAATCTTTGATGAAATTATATGAAGTAGTGACCAAATGAAAGCGTATCATATGCATGTATACAATTCACGATTTCTTTCATTACGTTTAAAAACATGATTGATAGGCGCAAAAGATTGCTGGATGCAGACGACCGAATCGCACGCGCCGATTGGTTCTTCCGTATACAAACTCTTCAACTCGATTCTTGTCTCATAGCGCAGGTTATTATTTGAACGAGCGTTTTGTTTGTAGAATAAAGATATTAAAAAACTTGTGGCTGTAATCGTTTTAAGAGCTATCGAACTGAATGAAGTGCTGTAAAAGAAAATAAGCTGAAGATTTCATTAAGAAAAGAATGCTGCACAGGGGGAGAGAGCTGGCTCGACTCGGAATTGAACATTTCTTCCATTAGAAAAACTTAATTTTTATTTATTAAGACCTTTACACGTTAATTTCTGTTCTTTCGTTGGATATGTAAACTTCAATATTTCAATTTTTGTAAAATTGTGGTACTCATTGAGTTGTTATTGTCGTTAAGATCCCCCCCAAAATCTGTTGACCATCGGTGCGCTGCGCGCAGTTTTTATTTTTGGTCATTTGGTCGAATGATAGAATTATTTCAGGCTACAGATATGTGGAAACTGAACACAGAGCGACATTGTGTTTGATCTGTATATCATTTCTGCCTTCTGCTCTGTGTCGTGTGCACGTGGCGGAAACGTTTTCATGCCAAACTTTGGAAGATAATCACGAAAACAATCGTAATTCTTGACGTACAGCGACATCTAGAATATTATACAAACTAGCAACCTTAATAAAAATCCACAGGAAAAAGTCTGTCGGAATAGACACAAATTTAATTTATTACCGAACATTTGCTTTTTGCTACAATGTATATGTATTTACTTATTGTCCCAACACGCGTATGCATTTAGAAATAAGTACAGGTATTTTGGAGATAAATAAGATAGATGATTAATGAAGAATAAGCAAACACAAAATAATGCTTACCAGAGGTGAGATAAACATAAATTTTGCAAAAGAACAATTTTTTCATTAATTCCTACTGATGAAAACCGATTTCTGATAACTCTCCTCACATGTTTAAAACAGGATATCGTCAGTGACAATTGCTGACTTGTGTCATATATCTTTTGACTTGATCCTTTTAAGAACAGATAATCGGAACTTTACCGATTCCTTTAACAGGGAAATCACACAATCCACGTACTCTCACACGACATGTCGGTAAAATCACGGATATGTTCTCGCCAAATAGTTAATCCTTGTGTTAATCTGTTGATAATCTTGTTAAGCCAGCGATATCCTTCAATCGGTCTTCAGGTAATGTCATAATATTTCGACAATGCATGAAAAAATACACCCATTGTGTTCCAATCATTTCAAAACCTCGTCAAGTGTTCTTGATTGGAGCACCATTAATCAACCACTTAATAACCTCGCTAATCCGCGCTAATCCACGAGAGCAGTGCAGTTGGAAAACAACCGAACGCTCTATGAATTTGTCAAGTTTTTCTTCCCTTTCATTTTTATCGCCTAAAAAATAAATGTTTCCTCCACAGTATGATCTTCTATCGCAGTCTAATTCCCTAAGCAGGTGACTTTTCCCTTTAGCCGAGATAATCCGACCGAAATGAAATTGTAAGGCCCAGCCTAACGCTAAAGGAACACTATATTACTGGCTACACCGCTCAACCGTGTGTTGGAGTGTACCCCTATGATCACGTCTATTTCTCTCCCCGTAAACAGAAAGAAGAGAAGAAAAAACCTCCCCAAAGCCTGCAGCGCCCCTCTTTCCACTAGGAGGTGTAATCAAAATGGTTATTGAAGAGGGGAGCCTCCCACGATAGTTCGGTATTTCATTGAGAAATTCTCATTGCTTTGTTTGCTAGCCCTTTTACGTTATGTCATTGGAGCGGTTTTTTTATCTCTGAGCGTTAGGAAACGCTTTCTCAGCGATCGTATATTTAAAATTCAATTTTAAGAGTAAATTCTTACATTATACCAGTTAAAAAATTAATTTTCGATAAAATGACTGAGATAGTACAAATGTTTATAGCCGACTCGGGTGTCATGTATTGTGTGACCGCGAGGCTTGATTGTTCAACAGCCAGTGCGCGCAGCATGATTTTTAAATATGGTGACATTATTTCATTAAAAGAAGAAGCATCAGAGTGTAATCTACACACTTAATTTACGATTTTGCACTCCTCAAAATCATAGGCAATACCCGAGAACAAGATGAACATCGTCCTAAATTAGACCATAAAAAGTTAATAAATAGTTAATTTGAACCACCCATCAAAATTTTCACATGTTTGTACGTAGAACGATATTTTTTTTACTAAAGCATTGATGTTCAAAGCATATTTTATTGATATAAAACATTTCTGCAACGTGGTTGAAGAAGGCAGGACAAGGGCAGATCATCAAGATGTCTATGGAACGTTCTCAGAAGTCAATTTCTGAATGATCGTGTACAGATAGCCATACTCACTTTTTCTCATGTGTGGGAAATTTTTCTCAATAGATTACAGTAAATATACTATATAAAAATCGATGTAAAAGGCTTATTCTACCTTCAAAAATCGCAAAATATGTGACAAGGAAGAAAGTATAATTAGAAAATTAATTTCTTTTTTTAAATGTCATGTAAACTGACTATTACTTCTTCCAGTAAAAAATAACATGTAATATAAACTGACTTCTGTTTATATGTACCTCTAATGCAAAAGAGTGCGTCAACTTTCATTTTAAGCGGTGTAATGTGCAGTGCAAGTTGCGTAAGTAACCCTTTTTGTATATTTAAAAAAAAATGTTCTCCACCTCTGAAAAAATAATGATATATGTCATATTTACATTTAAATCTAAATAATCCCCATACAACAAAGAGCGCTAGACCTGTGGGGCTAGAGGAATCAATGTCGACCCTGGCGGTACACAATAGAATGAGACGGCGTCAATTTCCCTATGTAATGTAGATGAAATTATAACCCATATACAAAATTTCTTCTCACGGTATGAAAAGAGGCATCCATGTTCATTATGAAATGAATTCCTTTCAATGAAAAAAGCGATGATTGGGTTTTTGAATGTTGAACACGATGGCATATGACAGCCATTATGATAAGATATTTGGGAAATCTTGTTAAGTCCATGTGTAATATGGCGACGGGGTTAAAGTTTGGGTAACAGTAGACGAAAGTGTCAAAGATAATCGTATCAAAAACGATAAATAAGATCTATTTAAAAGCCAGTCATTTATCGGAAACTTAAAATCAACTAGTATACGTTTCTCTACCTTTGGATGACTGAATTGCCAATATCTTCTTAATTTCATTTTTTTGTAATTGTGTTATCATGTACATTTATTAAATTATTTGTCTGTAAGAGATGCGAAGAGGTATTTTCAATATAATTTTATCTGCTCCTTTAGAAATATGGCCTTCCTCTGAAACTGAACTGAATGAATATAATATCATTTGATGTTTTATGTTATGCAACATTATTGAAAAATATACCAAAAATTCCCCTAAAACCATGGAAAATAAAAGAAAAAAAAGTTCATTGCAGTTTCCTTGAGATAAAGTTCGAAAAGCATAAATTATTTCCTCAAATATGTAAAAGAAAATTGAACCTTGTTCGTGATACCCGAATCTGAAAAAATAAATGAATATGGTACTATTCCTTTTACTGCATTAGAGTGCGAAAGAAAAATTCAAAATGGCCATGAATGACCATGTCTTATTCAGAATTTCTGACTGAAGAAAATAGCACAAAATTCTAGGATCTCCGGACCCGATCGATTACCTCTCCCCCCAAGGGTCAGCTATACTTGTCCTTAGGAATTTTCATTTGTCGAGCGCTGATAATTGTCTTTGGCTAAGTTCATGGTAGATAGTATACGGTTTATCTTAAGCCTCAAAACCTAGACCAGCTTTGTTTACATAACTTAGTACAGTAAAATGCATCTTCGCTAGCCAAGGGTTTCTGATACGCTACTCTCCTCATAAGCCCTAAGGGTTTATGAGGAGAGTAGCGTATCAGAAACCCTTGGCTAGCGAAGATGAGTAAAATGGGGCTTACTGGTTAAATGCAATAGTTCATCAACAGAACAAAACATAAAACCACCTTCATTCTACTGCTGAAGAGAGCAACTGAAAAAAATGATTCTTTTGAAAAAAATATCTACCATTTGACAGATGGTGAAATCATACGCTGTCTTTAAAAATGTGATCCATACATGTATATAACGATTTTAGAAATTATGACAACTGTAATACAATAAAAACTTTAAAAATCACTTCGGTTTCTCTTGCACTTTTAAGTGGTATACATGGGTGGTCAAAATATTTGAAATCTGTCAGGAATAAAAGTCTTATTTCTAGAATGGTTTACCAATTAAAATACCAATCAAAGCGAGTGACACAAAGTGCCCCGATGACGTCATAATCGATGCGTTCGAAGTGAACACCAGAATTCATGACACATTAAGAGTGATGATCACTTGAGATAAATGAAGTTTGATGGTGAAAGGCCAAATGTTATGTTTAGAAATTATTACCCTGAATTTGACAAGCAATATAAACACTTCTCGGCTGTAAAACACTTACACGATACCATTTTTCCTTATGTAATAATTCAAAACCAAGTGTGTGTGCCAGGAATTCTCTCCAAATACCCACAAGAGCTCGCACGATCTGTCTATGGAGAGTCAATTATCGCATTATCACTGGATAAACTGTCCAAACACTCGTATTATCCTTTATAAATCGGCTTCACAAATTGTTTTAATCACTTTAGTCTGATTTCTGCAACTCGCATAAATTAGGTACCAGGCAGAATTTGAATTCACTTCATGTTATTCCGTTGACAAAGTATACACCAAAAACTACTTTAAGTCTTTATCCTTTGAATGATTAAGTTCTGTCTCATGAGTTTTTATAACACACAAAGACTGATACAAAATATCTCCTAATACCTTTGAAAACTTCTTCACAGAAGAGTTATATAGATATATGAACTTCCGTCATCTATGATATGTTATCAAAATGGAAAAAAAATATAGAGATCTAGATAGCACTGGGCTTATGGCCCAGGGTGGTGTGAATTCTTTGGGCGCGTTTTTTAACCTTCAGAGTAAGATATAAATATCAGATACATATTAAATATTTGAACCTCTTGACAATGACACTTGTTCTTGTCGCATTGAACGCACACAATTATTAGACCACTTTAAAGGCCGCTATAAGATGTAGTGATACGACTTAAAACGACAAAAGGCGAGAAAACAAAATTTTATTAATTCATTAAGACCAATTCCATGTATTAATAATTTCAACACTTCGCTGACTGCCTTTTAACACCAGAGATATGTATCGGATTTCATGTAAAAGTTAACCCAAGCGAGGCATAGTGCATTTAGTTAATGTAGTTAGCAGGGGCCAGGTGCAAATACACAGGTGTGGATTTCTGATCGAATCTCTAAAATAAGTACACGCTTGGATGGAATTATCATGTAACTATTCAAATTAACTTCTATATCGCACCGACACCCCATTAGATTTGTCATAATTTTATCGCCTTTAAGTTTATTTGATAAATTAGGTACAGTTACATTGCAAAAAAAAAAAACTTTGAATGAATTCAAAATTGAACTTAAATAATGGCTATTTTTATATATAACAGAGCATTTTATTGTGGACGAATAAGTAAACGAATATATGCAGTTTAAGACAAGAGGAAAACTACCCCAAAAAGTTTTGACGTCATGAAAAAAAATTCTTAACTTATAATAACACATTTCTTGCGAACAATATGGTTTAGTGTTTATATTGACAATTTAACTTCATGCAGTTGTTGTTGTTTTTAAATTACAGATTGATGTGCCTAAGCTATTGGATTGTTTGATATTTTGTCGATAATCATAAATGTATTGTACATCTTAAACTGCTTTACAAGATACAATTGGGTCAAACAAACTCCTGTCTCCCCTGTTTGTTTTTGGGTTTTTTTCCATGATCAGAAATTAAATTCTCTGTGAAAGATTTTGTACTTTTTCACATTCTACGTCGTTAACTATAAACATCAACAAACTTCTGCTCACAAATTCATCCAATCTTCTCTATGTTTTGATAACTGGTGTTCGATTTTTTTAAAACTTGTACAACATCTGCTCAATTAATCTAATATTTCTGGGGTCTCTAAGAACGTGAACTATATTTCTTCTTGTAAGGTCAGCGCGAGAAATCCTTGCGTCACCCCGACATCGTAACATCAAGCCCTACTGAGACTAAATGAGCCCAGAAAGTTTTACTACAGCAGGGCTGGTTATATGTGCCGTATCGTAGATGTGGCCTTGACGTTTATTTAACGTAAACAAAATGAAATATACTCCGATACAATATCAAAGTTACGAATCCTTCCTTAGTGACGATTTGCAGTGGGCGTTATACATGAGCCACACCTGTTGACTGAGATTTTAGAGGAGCATGCAGCGTTTTCAGCGATAAATGGGTAAAAATTACGTCATCTTGATCGTTGTACACACTCGAAAATCGAAACTATTGGTAAAATTGTTCTAAAATGATTTTCGAAGAGTAATCTTGATTTGGCTATATTTTAGACAGGTTTTACATGAGTGTCATTAATTTGATGATTATACTATTTAATTTAATCTTAATTTCATTCAAGTCGATCTATCATACGGACAGATTTATATATCGACGAATAAAATGTTGAATATTC